CTTCCCTGATAGAATCCTCCGATTGATTTAGGTGTAGCATCTGTGTAAAGTTGAATGTCTGCAGCTTTAATAATGTTGTCATTAATAAAAAATGATATTCCATTCCAGTTTTTAAGAAATTGAGACCACATTGCCAAATCAGATCTGCAACTCTTAAAAATTTCCTTGATAGAGGATTGCTGCTCACAAGGAAGCTATTAAACTAAGAGTTCCAAATGGTGAAGTTGAAATTTTTACGGACGCCATTACGAGTTGGTTGACCGTTATGGAATAACCGTTTCACAGATGATATCGGATATGTTCCTTATGTCGTAAATACAATACCCTTCCCTTTTCACGAATGTGACTTACCGAATTAGAATATTTACCGGATTTGTAATAACATAAGCAACACGACGGGTGCCACATTTGGAGCAGGATCTGCTTACCCTTCCGGAGCACCTGCGATCACCCCCAGTTTATGGTGTGGTTCGTGTTGCTTAGTCTTTAGTTTTCTATGTTGTGTCATCTGTACCATTATTTGTCTGTTTGTCTTTTTATTTTTGGCCATGGCGTTGTCTGTTTGTTTTCGATCTATGAGTTTGACTGTCCCTCTGATATCTTTCGTCCCTCTTTTAATATATACATGGTGTGACAATTTTTTAACAGTAGTTGAAAGCTTAATCAAGTGAGACACAAATGATCTGCCTGGTAAAATAACTCTACTTGTAAAATTTTAGTGACCTAGCAGACTTAAAAGTTCCCTTTTAGTACATGTATTGCGTTTAGAAAAAAGATTCAATAGTTTCTTGAATTCTTGCAATTTTCTCTTTAGGCAAACGTGCCGCCATCTTTGTAGTATCAAGAAAAATGCCCAAATATTATAAAATGACACAAGAACCTTCAACTTTCGTTGTTGACAAAGGAATACCCAAAGATGAAAACATTTTTAACACATTGCTCATAGTAAGATGATCATTATCTGCTCTTGGTACAATAATTAAAAAATCATCTAACAAATCTAAAATATTTACAATACCATAGTTATTTCTAGCTATCAAGCAAACTGCCCTGGATAGTGTATCAAACATTTTGGGACTTTATCTACACCCAAACACTAATCTCTTAAAAAAAATAAAACTTTTTCTTCCACTGTATACCATGATAAGGCCATAATTCTGATTTAAGTGGGATAATTTTGAACGCATCGCAAATATCTGTTTTTAGGAGCCAACTTTTTCTACCTAACTGCATAATAATATGAGTAGCATCATCAATAGAAACATACTGCAAAGAAAATTCTTCCTTATCTATCAGTTCAGTTAGACTTGGATTGTCCTCATCCTCATGTGGTGCTGAAAGATCAACAATTAAGCGCTTTTCTTACTATATTTATGTTCTGCTAAACCAATGGGGTTTATGCGATAGTTGCTAAAAGGAATATCATTAAAAGGTCCAATGAGGTATCCTTTCGACACTTCAGTTTCAAGTAATTCTGACACGCATATAGGGATTTGTAGATGCTGACTTCAAATTTTTACATATAATGGACTTTGATGGGAGAGTCTTTAACCCAGTGTGAAAACCATATCTTAACCTATTTATCAAATAATTTTTAAAAGCTGAGTCAGGATGTCTATATAACTCTTTTCCCAAAACATCTATATTTACAGGTGTAGAGACAGACATGTCATGATTTTGAGGTGTATCTAGTTTCTCCTCTGTGTGTGGGGCCCGTTCTTTTGAGGCCCCTGGAACTCGTTTTTTTGTCTGCTGGCAGTTGATTTTTGAATGATCCCCTTTACAAGCCAAACACACATGGGCATTTCTACAACGTGGCAGTATACATCCCCTGTATCCATTGAAATTGTTACAAATTTCTCTTCCAGAATGAAAAACCTTTTCCCTACCATATGTATCCTGGGAATCATCAATTTTATTTCTGGATGACCTTTGCGTGAGAGAACAAAATCCTGATGTGTGAAAGTTACTGCCGCAAATATTACAGGTGTTAGGCCTTATATTTTTGAATATATTACAGAATAATGTATTGTTCCTTATGGACCAATCAACTGCCATGTTATTGTAGCGTGAATGTGCAGCTGAATCGAGGGAAAAATACTTGTGGTATTCATAAAACCCATTGCCAGGGTATCAAGTTGCCATGTCTACAATGTCTCTCTCATACGTATCGAGCTCACTCCTACGGTGGGGGAACGCGGAACACATTATGTTCTTGTAAATACCAAACGCTTGGATAAACTCCCCAATAGACAAAGATCTGTTTAGTCGTGGGTCAGGTTTTGTGTGGTAACAACTGGAAGTTTCATTCTTTTCTTCCCCGTCTGTTGTACCCATTCCCACATAATACGGGATAAGAAGAGAGGATAGGTTGATGTCCATACCTGTTATAATGCTTCTCCTTACTTGTGGTGTCACTGTTTCCACAAACGGCAAAGACTCGGCTGAATAGCCTCTTAATGTTTGAACATAGCGATTGTTCCTAAAAGCTTGTTCTTCGCTGCCCGCTGCAGCCGTTGGCAATGCGTTAGTTCTCAGAGCGGAGTAGGCTGTCTCCAGGTTGAAATTAAGACCATTGGCATTGTTCACTTCTTTGACTTCCGGTTGAAGCGAAAGTAGGAATCTACGTGTTTCCGGTTCTCGTTGTTGTTGTTGTCTCATTACGCGCTTCTACTGTTCTCTGAGTAATTAGAGTGTTGACTTGGCCAGTTAGTGTTGTTTTAATTTTGTTGCAAGGACTGCACTGTCGTAGACAGCTTTGAAACAATGTTTATTCAAGTTCTTTTGTTTGTCTCTACAGATGCATCTTGGGATGCCGCACTTCCTCATAAGGCGTCGTGCACGTGGTCGTTGATGGTGGTGTCTGTGGCAGTGGAATTCTGGGATCGCGCACTACCCAATATGGTATCAGCGTGGCCCTCAGCGTTTCTCCACGCATCGGAAATAACATTTTCTCCAGACTCTCGTAAAAGCCTGACCAATTCCATACTTCTCGAATTTTGAGGAATTCTAATCCCTCTTGCGTTTAGTTCTTGTCTTAATCTGATTAAAGTCCAGTTTTCAGGCATTTCCGGATCGTAATGCACGTGTGTCCTTGTCCCCGATCTACGAATTGGTCCCATGATGACGAATCACAGAGGTTTAAAATTAAAGCAGAATACAAATATAATCCAATTTAGAATCGTCTTGATGATAAATTGAAAGTTACAAACTCTGGAGAAAACAATGCACTATCATGACTATGTAGCACAAACTTAAAAAAGTACCTTTGTGGCTGATTCTGAATTGTTTAAAAACGTAAATCCGAATAACTGGAAACGAAACACTTATACTTAGTGAACGAATGTCAGTTTAAAATAAACATACGAATACTGTATATATATATATATATAACTCCAAATAGCAAATAGAATAGAATATTCAAATTGAATCTCAGAGAAACAAAATATGGCTGCTGAAACTGCAACAAGCTTTATAAAATGACCACCTATCCCTTCAATATCTATAATGTGATTGGTCAAATCATTATCTTATCTCTGTGGACAAAAATAACTTATCAAAGGCCTTGCTAATATTAAACACATGATGGGACAGGGTAGAAGATGATGAGGACATGAACAAAAATGTATAAACACCAATTCAATACATTAAATTCCCATTAATAAGAAAGCAATTATTTGATTTGTAAACTTTTCTTTTTACGGATCAAACATGAAAAATCTATGATGATAATATTTGACTTGGTTCCAGAGTTTGAGTCAAAACATTATTTTCCCGGGTAGGGTGACATGTCTTCCTGTGGACTTTTACCATGTAACCTGCAATGTAGAATGTTTATAATCTGCTGATTCAGCTTGTGGTTGAAGCACAAAACAGGGTTCATTTTAACATCACATTAATATATTCTCGTCCTGGTATGCCATTGATACTTGCCACTGAAAGACATGACCTAAAAAAATCAATTCTTAACTTGTTGTATGTGTTTCTCCTCTTATGAAGGTCATCAATTCAATGTACTGCCTTTCTATTTTATTTAAAAAATAGATAATTTCTTTTATACTTTTCAGAAATTACAGACTGAATCACTGAGCATTAACTTACTTTCAAACAGGGTAGTTATATGAGCTTGTTTTGTCTCTTTTGTGGGGTTTGGCAATATGTTCCACAATTTCCTCATTTTTATTTTTCTCACCTTGTATAAATTGAATAGGACATGTTGAGTGTTACTGTTGTAGGCTTCTGTCTTTTTTCAATGAATAATTTAAACAAAAAGATTGATTATTTTATAAATTCCCTGGATTAAATCAGTAAATCTGTAAAAACATCTTAATTATTTCAGGGATTTCGTAAAATCCCTAGTCATAATCAGGAATTTTATAAAATCACTAATAAGTTCAGTGATTTTACTAAACTCTTGAAATTTCAGAGATTTTGTGGGGATTTTACAAATTCATTGTTACATATATATGTTGGCTGATGGGCAATAATTTATAATAATCAGTAAGTATCCCACAAAGAATTTTTATCACATCTGGTTTTAACTGCATGGATCAGGTATTCTCAGGAAGAATTTTTGTTTAAACTTCCAAAAGGCTCATTTTAATACAAAGCTAAATCCTTCTGTTGTGAAACCATGTGTTATTTTCTTGAACACATTCTTACAAGAAACATCTGAAAGTTACAAATTTACCTTATCTAGGAATTAAGGGACACTAAACATTTGAGTGTTCATTTCTGTAGAAGTGTAATAATGGTAATATGTACAGTTAAATACCAATCAGTAACCATTTCACCACTGAGCTAATCCTAAGTATGTATGGCCACAAAAAAACTGTATAGCAGAAAGGATCAGTGATGGAACAAATATCACTACATTTGACAATCACTCATCTTTGGGAATTATCCTGTCCATTACCATCTTCCAAAGGCTAAATGAAATTATTCTTATGTGTAATGCATACACTTTCAGTAGGTTTGAAGTTAAAATTTTACAACAATAATGTTATATAGTAATAAATTTATTGTAATTTCAATAATAACATATAGATTCTATTTACAAATAGATATAAGAAGATGTGGTATGAGTGCCAATGCGTGATACAGATGCGTGGGATCAAGATGTTCAAGCAAATTGAGATTGACAAAACAAATACATAACTGTTATTTCTATATAATAAATAATAAAATGAAATAATGCATCAAAGCTTGGAAAATGTAAAATTTATTATTATGAGGCTGACTTCATACAGAAACTTCTTAGGAAGAAAGATAAGAAGTTAGCAATATCCTTTAACTCTACGTTCCGCTATATAGATGATGTTCTCTCACTAAATAATACATAATTTGGTGACTATGTTGAACGAATCTATCCCATCGAACTAGAGATAAAGGATACTACAGATACAGTTAAGTCTGCCTCATATCTTGATTTACATCTAGAAATTGACAATGAGGGTCGGTTGAAAACAAAACTTTACGACTAAAGAGATGATTTCAGCTTCCCAATCGGATATGTTCCTTATGTCGTAACTACAATACCCCTCCCTTTTCACGAATGTGACTTACTGAATTAGACTATTTACCGGATTTGTAATAACATAAGCAACACGACGGGTGCCACATGTGGAGCAGGATCTGTTTACCCTTCCGGAGCACCTGAGATCACCCCAGTTTTTGGTGGGGTTCGTGCTGCTTAGTCTTTGGTTTTCTATGTTGTGTCATCTGTACTATTGTTTGTCTGTTTGTCTTTTTATTTTTGGCCATGGCATTGTCAGTTTGTTTTCGATCTATGAGTTTGACTGTCCCTCTAGTATCTTTCGTCCCTCTTTTACAATAATATAAAATTCTGTGAAATTTTAAGAATGAGCTTGGCGCATTAACGGCATGGGAAAACTTGACGTCATGCAAATGAAAACTCTCAAGATGAAGATTTCTTGTACGCTTCCATTTTTAAATAATATCTCATTAAAATGAAGTTTTTGAGGTAGGTGTTATTTCATTTTAGATTCTATTGCATTAATTGAACATTTATAGATTTCAGAAAGTCAATATGGCGGCTTACTCCTTAGTTATGAAATGTCAATTGTGCATTTGATGGTAAATAGTTGCCAATGTACCAAAAAATTGTTAATCAAAAATTGCAAATGTTTGGGTTAAGAATTATAAGGATTAAACACATTTTTTCTAGAGGTTATTGGTGTGTAAACTAGGTAGCTGACTCACAAACTTTCCATAAAAGTGCTTTGGACTTTTATTCAGTTTGTGAGTAAATCGCCCCAGTTTACACATCAATCTCTAGAAAAAATGTGTTTAATCCTATAATCACTTACACTTTACAACATAAAGAGCTAGGATCTATAATTTCCACTCAAAATAGGTTGAAATTTTATTTTCATGGAAATAGTACTTTTCATGATAATTTAGTTTCTGCAAGTTGAATTTTTGGCAGAATAACAAAAAATTGCTTGAAAACCCGCCCATATTCACAAAACCCAGGATTGACCTAATGAATGTTCAGGCATACAAATTACATTTGGACACATGTCTACCAAAATGTAATGGAATTGTGACAATTTCGACGAATTTAGCTGGAAAAGGAAATTGTATAGAAATTGAAGAGAGATATGCCAGGACCACTATAAACATTGGGAAGAACATGACTAGTGGATGAACTTGGAAAAAGCTCTACTTCATAGAATGTATTGGATGAATGTACTAGCACATGAATCTATAGTTGAAAACTTTAGAAATATGTTGATCTACATGAGATTGCGGGTGTTTTGTAGAATTCATTTTCATGATTTACTAGGTATGCAATGATTTCATCCAAAAACATAAGATAAGAGCTAATAAACAGCTGCGCCATGAGCGCATGATACGCCCGTCGTCTTGTGTGTGAATTTTTATGCAATAAGCATACATAGTTTCTGACATACGGCATGACATGCGAAAACCCCCTTTTTTTTTTTTACAAAAAACTCAATATCTCTAAAATAAAATTTTGAATCAAAACCAAAAAGTATACAGATCTTTAGATTAATATAACTAAGAAGTATGTAAAATTTTAAGTAATAATCATAAATCGTTTTTGAGATAAGGCGCGACATGTGAAAACACCCCTTTTTAAAAAAAAAAAATCAATATCTCAAAAAAAAAATTTTGAATCAAAACCAAAAAGTATACAGATCTTTAGATTAATATAACTAAGAAGTGTGTAAAATTTTAAGCAATAATCATAAATTATTTTTGAGATACGGCGCGACATGTGAAAAACCCCTCCCCCTTTTTTAACAAAATACTCAATAACTCAAAAATAAAATTTTGAATCATCACCAAAAAGTATACAGATCTTAAGATTAATATAACTAAGAAGTGTGTAAAGTTTTAAGCAATAATCATAAATTATTTTTGAGATACGGCGCGACATGTGAAAAAAAAACACACACCTGTTTTAGTTACTAAGTCCCGTAACTCAAAAAGTTTTAATCTTATTTTCACCAAAAAGTATACAGATCGTTTGACCATCATAAGAAACAACTATGTTAAGTTTCATGAAATTTGGATAAGTCATTCTCAAGTTACGATGCGACATGTTTACGCCAGACAGACAGACGGACAGACGGACAGACAGACAGACAGACGGACGCCGGATATTTGTATAACATAATACGTCCCGTCATAAATTTGACGGGCGTATAAAAATGAAGAGGCAGGTGCAATCTTAATTGACTAGGATTGCCAGTTTTCCTGCCAAAGGTGGGTGGTTCTCTCCAGGGCACTCCTGCTTCCTCCATCAATAAAAACTGGCCTCCACGAAATAGAAGTAAAACAAAATAAGGATTAGTTTTGATTATGTAGAAATATTGACAATGAAGGGTAAAGATTGCTCTCAATTTTGCAATTTTGTGACATTGAATTATATTTAGCTTAGGAAATTATAAATTTGGGTTTGATTTTCATGGTTGTACATTTGTAGTTGAACCTATTTTTATAACAGATTCATATGCCATGCTGATGATGCATGCATTTAATTATAAAAACAGATTTCTTGATAAGTATCAATTCAAATACACATCATATTGTAACTTGAATATCTATAAATTGCATGACATTGACTGGATAGGATTCACTGCACTAATTTGTTTGAACTATTAAAGGTAGTTATGAACCTTGGAAGATCTAAATATCAATTCAGTACCATAAGGGTTTTGATTGTTTTTTATGTACTGCAAATTCAGAAATTATTGCGATGTTTTTATTATTGCGATTAATGCGACAGGGTTATAATCGCAATAATTTAAACTCGCATTTTGAAATTTTATATATGAAGTAAACAGGATTTTTCTCCATATCGCAAAAATTAAAATCGCATTTTAGTCTAAAATGCCAAAATCGCAATAATAAATGCAAGCAATAATTTCTGAATTTACAGTATTCTTTACCCAAAAAATCATCAGAAAAAGAGAGTGTCTGACAAATGAAATGAATTTAATTCGAATGTTGACGTGAAATCAAAGTTTCATATGTGCTGACCAAATTTTTCAAGATCTAGGTCATTGCTCATATACATTCTTGCATAATTAATTATCTTTGGTCTATCAGACGACAAAAACAATTATTTTCATTTGGATATTAAAAATGAAATGAAACATACTTTTTCATTCATATCTATAAAATTACTTCATGTAAGCAGCTTTATAGTTTTTACAATTTCGTAGATAATTTCTCTTTAACTTTATGTTCCAAGAACAAATACATTTTTTAGTAATGCACAAGTATTACATAAAACAGAAAAGAGATGAAGTATAGCATCGGCTAGGTCTATAACAGTATACTAGTATGATCAGATTCTGGTTGACAATATTGAATTAATGTCTTAACATAATGAAATATGTAAATTATGATAACTCTACTGATAAAAGTAACTGATGCCATAAATGTTTGATTTGATGGTTGTAGATTAAGTGTATTGCAATGTGTTAGCTGGGCCAGTAAACTTATTTTCAATGACAAAACTGCAAATATTGATATGCATTGGCAAACAAAAGCTATAGAAATAAATTGAGATTCTGTTTACAGAAATTGTAATTTAACTTTATAAATAGTTTCTGTAGTTTTAAAAGTTAGGATTCAAATGAGCAAAAAGAAAATCAACAACAAAGTAAGGCAAGACAACAGACAATATCTGAGGAATATAGGTGACATGGGCCCTTAAGAATTAGCTAAACATAAAAAAAAAACTCATGGCAGATAGGAAAAAAAACCTAAAATACTACAAAACAACACCATTAATGAACATTTATTTTAATATTGTGCATGTTTTTACTACTTTTTTTGATTTGGATAAATGTTTTAGCAAGTTATAGATAAAATATGAGATTTTGAGTCAAATCGTGGAACATGAATATGACAGCTAATGCCCCTTTAATAATCTCCCAAGAATTCTGTAGGTCATATGACCTGATGTTAACATATATATATATAATAAATACACAGGCAAGCATGTGCAATAGTCTGTTTGATTTCATGTCATAGATTAAAAAAATATGTAAATCATCATTTTACCTGTGTTTGAAGGATTTTTTGTGGGCAGAATCAGTCAACGAAGGGATATTCCCGGTGGCTGCCTTTCTTTCACTTTTGACATTTTTTTCTTTTTTATAACTGAACATGCTTAGCTCATCCCAGTAAAGGGTTAAATTGTAATTCTCATGAATAACATGAAGGAGGATTCAAATGAGTTGAAATATTGACTTGCAAGCCAATAATACATCATTGATGTTTTTTAAGCTTATTTTGACCAAACTGAACCAAATCTGACAGCCTATAGTGAAATATTATTTCAGAATTAGGCTTTTATAAATGTTTGAACAAAAAAAATATAATATTTTGATTGTCAACTATGTAGCATTAACAAAAAAAAAAAATTTTCAAAAATAATTTTACAAATTTTACAATAAAAAGATATGCACATTTACATATTATGCACAACAACTGCACATAGTTTCATCTGAGTCCTATCCACACTTTTGGAGTTTTTGGCTTACACAAAAAAAATTGTTGACAGACAGACTTAGTGAAAACTATAGGGTTCTACTATCCCGATGCAAGCCCTTAATATCAAATTTTGTATTCAAGTAACATAAAAATAAGTAATTTAGATCTTATGAAAATATTTTATCAGGGCCCCAGTTTTCTTTTATTTTCTGGTAAATAATTTTTTAATGGATTCATTAATTCATGGATAACAACTCAACAAAACAATTCATTGAAAGGTTTGTAGTACTTTGTGTATGAATATTTTGGATTTTATTCAAAATAGAAATCCCATAAAACTAGCACCCCTAATCATTTACAGTATCATAATTTTTAGAATGATAAAAATACCACTGAACACTATATATATTTATATATGTCTCAAAGATTAATCATATACATACAGAAAGTACTAAAATTGTATCACACCGGTCTGTGGACATATCTTAATATTATATAACACAAAGACCTGAAAACTACTATAATAGCAAACAATGGAAGGAGATACTGCCAGTAATTCCACTTGATACCATAATATTCAAGGAGGATTTCAGATGGGATCATTGTAGCATTTGCTTCTCTGCATACCGGAAATACTGTGGAATTAAGCTGTGACGAACATCTGAAAAGAAAAGTTGATTATATTATGTTCGTCTTTTGCAATTCCAGTCAAGCAAATTTGTATGTATGCTGGACCAAAAAAATAGCACTAAAAGGTTAATCTAGGTCAACAATGAGCAAAGAAATGTCAACAATATAAAGGTTAAGCTCTAAAAGTTGTGAATAAGTTTTGGAGACTAGCAATAGTCTGTTTGATTTCATGTCATAGATTAAAAAAATATGTAAATCATCATTTTACCTGTGTTTGAAGGATTTTTTGTGGGCAGAATCAGTCAACGAAGGGATATTCCCGGTGGCTGCCTTTCTTTCACTTTTGACATTTTTTTCTTTTTTATAACTGAACATGCTTAGCTCATCCCAGTAAAGGGTTAAATTGTAATTCTCATGAATAACATGAAGGAGGATTCAAATGAGTTGAAATATTGACTTGCAAGCCAATAATACATCATTGATGTTTTTTAAGCTTATTTTGACCAAACTGAACCAAATCTGACAGCCTATAGTGAAATATTTTGTGTATGAATATTTTGGATTTTATTCATATTTGACCATGGGACACTGTGCCCCACTTGCTCTATCACATTTCCATGTAAATTAAATTGGGAAATCTGAGTCGAAACCTTAAATTTGGCATTTATCTTAAGAGTTCAGATCATAATGAACAGGATTTTTGAGGCAAAAGTTTTTGAATTTGTTTGTTCACAGACCCCCAAACCAAGTTTTTCTGATTTTTAGAAAAAAATAAAATTGAAATTTTCAAGCTTTTTTCCCCCTTGCTACTATACCAAACACAATAACTCTGAAATATATATAGAAATATCTGTGTAGTAGAATTTACCTCAAAACATGTACATTATTTAAGTATGTTTACACAGAAATAAAAATGATAACACACATTGTGTTTTTATTTAAGAAATAAGACTAATATGGCATATAACTCTAAAGTTCCTATCATACTTATTTTTTATACTGATTCCAAGTTCATGTGACCACTTGGTAAACTATCACAAACACAATCTTTAACATGACTCAGGATAGACAGACAAAGTAAGGAACAGAAAAATACAGGACAACATACGTCATATATCCAGTACACTAGGCTTTGTATAAGGAGACATGGTATAAATTCCAATATGATAACTGCCCATTTAAGACAAAAGGACAAAGAATGGTAAAGAAACCAAAAATAAATAAAAATACTTTCAGAATTGTTAGCTTTAAGTGGGCAATACATTTATAAAATCCAATCTTTCATTTACAGCACAAGGGTATATTTCATTTGCGCCAAAAAAAAAACTACATTTACGCCATTTTACAGGTTACATAAAACGGAAAAGTTTTAATATTCCTTGCTATATAGTGAATAAGATTTTTTAAGGAATATTCCCCCTGGATAATTATGTAATTCATCGTGCCTCATTTCTAATGTAAAACTGAGGATAAGTTAGGTTTAACAATTTATAGTGTTCACATGTTTGAAATGTCAAGATGGACATTGTCAATTCTGGGACAAACAGCTTGTTAAGTTGGCTTTCTCATTTGAATTGTTTCATATTTTTCATGTCAGAGCCGATTATAGCCGACTATATGGTATGGGTTTGTCTAATTGTTGAAGGTGCACAGTACCATACCTCCTTATTTTTATATATAGGAAATAAGTCTGTACTTGTTGATGACCACAAAAATATAATCTAATGAACATTGTTCATGAGTATATCCAGACTGTTACTTACAAGTCTTGAGCCAGAAGTTTGCATTTACTCTAGTGCATAGTGCTTAGAACAGACTCATAATTTTACTCCAATGTAAAGTGCTTTCTTTAAGGTTTAATGAATATGTTAATTTTTTAAGAAACTTTGTTTTGACATTATTATGAAAAGTCTCTTTTTAAGATCTTCATTTTATCATGGTTATGATGATTGATATTGGATGCACATGTTTCATTAAGCCAAAAAACTGTTATGACAGTTATTAAATATTAAAAATCTCTTTTGAGTTAATCTATTGTTTTAAACTATAAAACCTTATTTACCAGTATTATTGGCACAAATGAAATATGATTTGTGGTGCAAATGGTAATTGGTCAGTTAATAAAGCAAAGCACTGTTAAATATAATCAAATTCATTCAATCTTGAATTTTAAAAAGTTACGAAAATTTACCCGACTGCTGGTCCATTCTTGAATTCTAAATACATTAGTGAATGGAATGTATAATGTATAAAGGATAAATATTTTGTCCAATCTAACCACAATGGTAATGTTCGAGTAAATAAACCACCTGTAAAAATAAATAAAAATGTATTAATGACAACAAACTTTCGAGAAGAAAAAAAACCCAATATTCATAAAAACAAAACGGGCTTTGAGGAAAGAAATCAGATTTACTTTGTACAATTCAATAAAATAACATCTTTTTCTGCAAATGGTTAATTTCCAGAATTTGACTTTTCAAAGAGCTTAAGTTAAAGAAAATTTTACTGCACCTTGTGTTATCCTTCTTCTAATGTTTTTATGATTGTCTGTTTTCATTTGATTATAAAAACAAGAATGTGTCCATTGTACATGGATGACCCATGGCCACTCACACTATCATTTTCTATGTATCTGAAAGATCCAAAAAGTGCTCATATATTACAACTCAACCTGTAATTCAGTGGTTGTTGCTGTTCATCATATTCGTTTTTCATTAATTGTTTTTTTTTACAAAAATCAGGCCGTTAGTTCTCGTTTGAAATTAGTTTTACAGTGGTCATTTCCAGGCCTTTTAAAGCTGCCATTGATATCTTATCTTGATATACTACTTACCTAGCAACATAATGGCCATTTGAATAAGTATAGTTATTGTAATGGCTTGTCTTATTTCTGTGTTAACTACACCAAGAAATAAACCTATACTCTGTAAATATAAAGTACAAATTATCAAAATATAAAATGATAATGTTTCTGTATATCTATACTATTATCACATCTCCCCTCAATGTCTTAAACTTTTTATTGATCTTTTGAATCTAATTTTAGCCTGTAGTTTAATCTTTTTTTTAGCCAGCAGTTTGTTTTTTCTCTATTGTATCTTAAAATTTAGACTAGTTTTCTTTTTCTCCTCTGTGTCCAATTTTAGCCTGTAGTTTTATTTTGGTCATCTTTTCTCTCCCTTTTCTGTTTACTGTTACAAGCTTATTAAAAAATCCCAAATGGTTGATTTGAACTTTGTCGGTTTTTTTTATTCCAAATAAATGAATTCACATATAAGTGGTTCCATTATGTTTTAATATTATTAATATTTATTTTCATTATTTATACGATCAAAAATTTTTGATGTGGTATAATATTATGATGATGCCAGCGTCGTCATAATCTGAAGACATTTGGTTTTCAGACAGTAACTTGAGTATAAGTGTAAATAAAATGCTCCCGCTGGGCGCAGCTTGATACGACCGCAGAGGTCGAACCCTGAACAGTTGGGGCAAGTATGGACACAACATTCAACCTTGATACAACTCTGAATTTGGATTGTGATTAAATATTTGACACAGCATAGGTTTCTGACACAGAATGAATGTGGTCTAAGAACTTTTTAAATTTACCTATTATGGTCCATAATCCAAAATCGAAATACATGGTTAGAATCAGCATATCAAAGAACCCCATATATTCAATTTTTGTTGAAATCAAACAAAGTTTAATTTTGGACCCCGGTTTGGACCAACTTGAAAACTGGGCTCATAATCAAAAATCTAAATACATGTTTAGATTCAGCATATCAAAGAACCCCTAGAATTCAATTTTTGTTAAAATCAAACTAAGTTTAATTTTGGACCCTTTGGACCTTAATGTAGACCAATTTGAAAACTGGACCCAAAATTAAAAATCTACATACATGGTTAAATTCGGCATATCAAAGAACCCCAATAATTCAATTTTTGATGAAATCAAACAAAGTTCAATTTTGGACCCTTTGGACCTCAATGTGGACCAATTTAAAAACGGGGCCCAAAATCCAAAAACTTAATATACGGTTAGATTCAGCATATTAAAGAACCCCAAGAATTCAAGAATAAAACCCCATTGAAATTGGTCAAGAAATAAGCAATTTATACAAAGTATTGGAAAAGTATTGTTTTTGGCCCCTAATTCCTAAACAGTTAGGGTCATGACCCCCAAAATCAATCCTAACCTTCCTTTTTCGGTATGAAATCTTGTGGTACAATTTCAGAAAGATCCATACACTTACACACAAGTTATTTTCCTGAAACTAGAAAAATGCTTGTTTTTTGCCCCTTTTTTGCCCCTAATTCCTAAAATTCTGAGGCAATTACCCCCCAAAATCAATCCCAGCCTTCCCTTTGTGGTATGACACGTTGCAGTACAATTTCAGAGAGATCCATACACTTGAACACAAGTTATTGTCATGAAACTAGAAAAATGCTAGTTTTTTGCCCCTTTTTTGGCTCCTAATTCCTAAAATTTTGAGGCAATTACCCCCAAAATCAATCCCAGCATTCCCTTTGTGATATGGAACCTTGTGGAACAATGTCAGAGAGATCCATACACTAACACACAAGTTATTGTCTGGAAGTTACAAAAATGCTTATTTTTGGCCCTTTTTTCCTTAACTGTTGGTACCATAACCCCCAAAATCAATCCCAACCTTCCTTTTGTGGTATTGAACCTTATGGTAAAATTTCATAGAGATCCATTCACTAAAACTAAAGTTATTGTGCGAAAACCAATGTGTCATTTAGGTTTACGACGACGACGACGCCAACGTCATACCAATATACGACTGCTTTTGCGGTCGTATAAAAATTACACTTTTTTTACTTCATCAAAAATTTTATTGATGGGATACAATGAGAAAAACAATCAAGTTGAGATGACAAATGAAAATCTGTTTATTGCAATTATACCTATGACAATGTTGAAATTTACATTGCATGTGCGTCCTTAGTTTCTGGCAATCATTTTTCATATCACTCTTATTGTGCTGAGAAAGGAAATCATTAGTCAGTAAGATTAAAGGTAAATTAAGTAAAATAGCAATAAATACATGTATATACAAAAAGTTATATATATAATTTGTCTAAACATCAGCCAAACAATGTTAGATCTGTAAATTTGGTTTTGCAAATTTCCATATATATACTGTAAAAGCAGAAATTTTTGTAGAAGATTTAAATTCGTTTATTTGGTGGAAAGAATATATCCATCAAATTAAACCTCCATGAAAATTTAACCTACATATAATATCACTTCCATTTACTGGAGACCTAGAAATTAAATCCCCTTGAAATCTTATATAGAGACAAAACCACGAAATTTTCGCCCCAAGAAAACTAATGTTTCTACTGTGAATTTTGACCCTAATATAGGTTTTTGACACAAAATAATTGTGGTAAAAGATCTTAACAAGAGGCTGTCAGAGAGACAGCTAACCGCATTTTCCTGCAGACGTTACATTTTGAACAGTTCATGTTTAAATGCACAGACACGACTGGAAACACCATTTTTTTAATATTTCAAGAACCATAACTCCTGAACGGTAAAAGTGAAAATTGTCATTATCCTACTTGACCTCCATTTTGTCATTAGTAACAACATGTTAAAATTTGAAAAGCTTTGGTTGAATAATTCATGAGTAAATGCAAAGACATCTTTCAAGCATTTTTCAATATTTCAAGAACCGTAACTACTGAACAGTAAAAGTGAAAATCGTTATTATCCTAGTTGACCTCCAATTAGTCATCAGTAATAACATTTTAAAATTTGAAAAGCTTTGGTTGAACGGTTCATGAGTAAATGCAACGACATGACTAGAAAGGCCATTTTTTAATCTTTCAAGAACCATAACTCCTGAACAGGAAAAGTGAAAATAGCCATAATGGAACTTGACCTCCCACTTGATGAACGTTAATAGTGCAGGGATACAGGTGGTCACTTCTATCTGGTAAATGACGCTATAAAGGCGTGCAAAATTGACGACTTTTTTCTAGTCAACTACAAACTCGAATGTGGTCTATTCATTTTAACTTTTACCAAATTTTAGGAATGCTGTTATTTTAATTCAAAATCCTCTTCTGCCAAAGCTCTTACAAAGTTAATTGCATTATCAAATTATGTGTAAGAAAAATACTACAGGAGTTTTTACTGAAATGATCAGAAATATTTCTTTTGTATAATGGCATCATTGAGACAGTAGAAGTCTCCTAATATACCATACCCTTAGAAACAGTAGAAGTCTCCTAATCAAACCCAACTAGTCTCATATACCATACCACAAAGAACAGTAGATGTGTCCTTATAGACAATAATTAGTCTCATATACCATACCACATTGAACAGTAGATGTCTCCTTATAGACAATAACTAGTCTCATGTATCATACCACATTTATCTATACTAATATAGATTCTAAGAGTAGAAAAGGAACTGTTCTACTTGAATGGAACCCTTATCCTGCCATACTGGATACTTGACATCATATGCAAAACTTTATAATAACTATTCTAATTTTAATAACAAACTAATATACTAAGACACCATTGTATACACAGTATACTAGTATCATATTCACAATCAATTCTAAATCTATTATACTGAATACATATGAAAATAATAATAAATGTATCATTTAGCTTTCTAGGGGGCTACTCATTAAAACTTACAATAATACTAATTAAAATAACCAAATCAAAAACACTACCTACTCAGCATAATTTTAAATTAATTAAAAAATAAATTGGCTAAATTATGCAATTTTAAGAACCTGCAGTAGAGCCCTGACAGGTGAAAAATTTATTTTAGAACCTGACTGGTAGAACCCAGACAGGTATAAATTTTGAAAAATGAGAATACCTGCGGTAGATCCCAACAGGTACTTTTAGAACCTGAGTGGTAGAGCCCAGACAAGTATGAATTTTGAAAACTGAGAATTCCTGCGGTAGATCCCAACAGGTACTTTTAGAACCTGACTGGTAGAGCCCAGACGGGTATAAATTTGAAAAAAGAGAATTCCTGCGGTAGATCCCAACTGGTACAACAAGAGTGCACACGCTGAAATGTCTCGCCTTCTTTACTAATCATTGATATTATGTTGATAGTCCTAAATATAAAGCTTTATTACAACTGTCACATAAACTTAACATTAACCAAGTAAAGTAAACATTGACCAATGAACCATGAAATTGAGGTCAAGGTCAGATGAACCATGCTAGGCAGGCATGTACAGCTAACAATTCTTCCATACAACAAATATAGTTGACCTATTGCTTATAGTTTAAGAAAAACAGACGAAAACACAAAAACTTAACACTGAGCAATGAACCTTGAAAATGAGGTCAAGGTCAAATAAAACCTGCGTGACTGACATATAGATCATAAAATATTTCCATACACCAAATATAGTTGAACTATTGCATATAGTATTAGAAAAAAAGACCAAAACTCAAAAACTTAACTTTGACCACTGAACCATGAAAATGAGGTCAAGGTAAGATGACACCTGCCAGCTAGACATGTACACCTTACAATCATTCCATACACCAAATATAGCTGACCTATTGCATGCAGTATTAGAAAGAAAGACCAAAACTCAAAAACTTAACTTTGACCACTGAACCATGAAAATGAGGTCAAGGTCAGATGACACCTGCCAGCTAGACATGTACACCTTACAATCATTCCATACACCAAATATAGTAGACCTATTGCATACAGTATAAGAAAAACAGACCAAAACACAAAAACTTAACTATAACCACTGAACCATGAAAATGAGGTCAAGGTCAGATGACACCTGCCAGTTGGACATGTACACCTTACAGTCCTTCCATACACCGAATATACTAGACCTATTGCTTATAGTATCTGAGATATGGACTTGACCACGAAAACTTAACC